GCAGTGGCAAAGAGAAGGGGTTTGGCAGCAGATTTCCTGAGTTACATGCTCAGATTGAAATCCTGCACGTAAAACTCCCAATATCGTATGTCCTTCTCAGACTTCCAGAACTTAGCACAGCCTCAATGACCAAATGGTCATGCTTTAAACTTTGAAAACATTTGTCCTGCTGTGAACATGGTGAGTTTGTATTTTTAGCTTTGATAGAAATATCTTGAAGATCTGGAAAAGCCTGCATGATATCATCAAACCTTTCAATTTTAAAGCAAGACTTTAGAAGGTGTTGCCTGCTCTGTTGTTAAAGGGTGACAGAGAAAAAACTGTGGTCTTCCCACCTCTATGACAAATTGTAATTGCACAACCTTCAAATTGCCACAGAAGAATTACTGGGATATAAGTTGTTTTCCAAGGTGACTAAGAGCTATTTATACTTAAGAGATTTCTTGACCTTGACTCCAGTGATCATATTTGCCTCTTTCATCACTTGCAAATCACTGCCTCTTTAGGTCCAGCTATGTTTGATAATGTATTTCAGTGTAAGTCCAATGAAAACTTATTGTTTCTTTTAAGTATTAAAATAATAACAAAACTCCCCCCCAGTTCTTCCCTGCTTTTCCTGTTTCAGAACAGACGCCTGCTGGTGCTGTCTTTGTAAAGCTCATTTATCAATGTTTGATAAGGAGGGGAAATAGTTACAGAGTGTAATAAGAGTACAAAATACCTGTGACCTGTGGGGGTTGTGGCAGCTTCAGACTTTATCTGTTAGATATGTGATGGCCATCAGGATTGAAATGAACTCTTTGGTGACTTAATTAAATCAGACTGCTATTAGCTTTGTGCACAGAGCTAACCCTGCATGGAGCAGAGCTGGTGTAATCATTCACATGACTTTGCATATCCCTGTTTATTAGGACAAAAGCACACAGAGATGGTTTCTCCTTCAAAAATCATATGGGGTGAAGCAGAGAATGTGGGATAAAGAATATTTGCTATTAAATTTGTAACGCAATCCCCATGGGAGTGGGTAAAGTCCTACTCTGTGTGCTGAGGGTTAATCCCAAAGCTGCATCAGCTCTGAGCTCACCTGTGCACTATTGGCTGAGAGCAGGGGAGGGAGGCAAAGGCAGAAAATCCACTGCTTAATTTAGACAGTGACAAATGGCTTGCTGTGCAGGATGCTTCACTCCTGGATGTCTGGGGTGGTGCAGATGCTAAAAAGGGAAACACATTTTCTCATATCTTTACAAGCAAGGTGTCATGGGTGGCAGCACAGCCTGACCTCTGTCTTTTAGTGGGGCTGCTAAAGGTGGTGGCAGAGTGGAGGTCTAAATCATATATTATATTATAATGGGGTGCCCTGTCCCCCCACTTTGCCATGCTTTTGGGCTGGCTGACTTCACAGCACAGCTCCTTTGTCCAGGCATTTTGTTTTGTACCCAGACATGTCAAACATGACATATATCTAAGTGCTCTCTGCATTTTCACCGGCACGCTGCACTGTCTGCCTCCTCCTCCTTGTTTTCTTGGCACTGCTGAATGTGTCATGTGCAAGGAGTGGCAGTGAGGAAGAATCCAGGTGATGTGGCAAAAAGAAGATGCAAGAAAGCTCAGATTCAAGGGGTGCAGTCTGTTAGAGCCAGGTGGGAAACCAGAGAGCACCATGGTGGGAACCATCGTGCACAAATCCAGGAGGAATTGTCAGGTTTTTCAGTCTGCTCTGGCATATGGTTGTGGACCTCTGTTCTTACCTCACAGCCCTTTTATTTGCAGCATGTGCTAGTTATAGGTTAGACAGATACAGATTGTGCTTAATGTGATACTGAGCTCCTGCCTGCATACCCTGGTGACATTCAGCCAAGAGCTTAAATGTGCCTCATGCAGGCCTGAGATCATAATGGCTTTTATTTGTAGAATTTGGATGAACAAATGGTCTTTTCTTAGCCCAGCCTTATTCATGTTCTATTTTAGGAAATAATGATAATTGCAAGCTTTTCATGTATATACCAACAGTTTTGTCAGAATTAAAATCAGATTTATTTAAAAGCCATCTCAGCCTAATACAGCAGCACTGGGCTGTTTACTTTGCTTCTAGACATTCAATGTGTCTGTTGTATTAGCAGAATGGAAATGATGTTCATTTCCTTTTGCAAAACACTTCAAGGAACCCAGAAAGAGTGTAGATGTCACTGGTGCTATAGAATAATAAAAGGATGTTGCCAACCCCTGTATTAAACATGAGCACAATGCTAAGTCTGGTGCTCAGACTTACTGTGATTTGGCTTACAAAGAAGCAATTAAACAGTCAGAGGTACTCCATGGATCCCTGCTTCCCCCAGGTATCTGGTTTTGGCATCAATAAAGATGCTGGACTAGGTAGACCTTTTGTGTAAGGCAGTTTCTCTATTCCCACTGCCTTAGAAATTAAGTGTTTTTAAAATCTCTTTATTGATTCAATTTCTGAGAAAATTCAATTTGGTGAAAAAGTTTCCCAAACAAAAATGAAAACAGCATTTTTTGAGGGAAATGCAGCAGATTTTTTGAGGGAAAATATCTCAGGGAGTGCATCCCAGTGTGCCAGGCCCCAGGCTGGCTCTGGAGGCTGGCACACCAGGAGGAAGCAGGAGTGCTGGGGGCTGACAAATGGGGGCTGTTTTCAAACTGCAGCCCAGCACCCACTGGGACTGGGGGCAGGATCCCATTTGCCCTCACAGCCCAGGCTGCATGGTTTCAGATTCAGCTGAAGGAAATGAGGGCTGGGAGGGACCCCAAGAGGTGATGCAGTATCCTCCCCAAACCAAAGGCGAGATCAGCGTGCCCAAGCCTCTCTGACACATGTCTGTCCCTTCCTCTGCCTGTGCTGGACATTCCAGAGCCTCCCTGCCTTGGTGACCTGTGCCAGCTTTGCTGTCATCCCAGCCTGGCATGGAGCCTTCAGCTGTCATGGCAGAGCAGAGGGATGCATTACAGGGTGTCACTCCTTGTCATTTCATCATTTCAGCTTGTAACTTATGTCCTCTAGAGCAAAGTCCTGGTGTTAGGACATCTCAGGGCTGCTTTTCAAGTCCAAGCTGTGTCAGAAGTCTGTGACTTGCACTTTGTCACAAGGTACCACTGTGCTTAGTCCCCCTCCCCTCCTTTTTTAGGGGATTTGAGAAGAAGAAGAAGAATGCTGGTAGGAAGAGGGACATGGGGTGGTGGATTCCTGGATAGCAGGAATGTGCAGCACATATTTGGGGTTGTTTTGGCCCATTATCCAAAGTCATGCCCTTTAGTCAGAAGGACTGATTGCTCTCATTATCAGTTGTGATAATAAACTTGGACTTGCGCTTTTGCAAGGCATGGTGTTGCCTGGGCTTAAACCCATGAGGAGATGAAGGTTTTTGGGCTGTGCTTGCTCAGTCAGCTTGAGTGTTGGAGCCAGGGTGATGTATCCCTGCTGCCTGGGTTTTAACAGCTCACATTGCTCACTTCGGTTTGTCTCCATTTCTTGGGATTTGTTGATGTTTCAGGCATTCACCAAAGGCACACCAAGTCTGGGGATGGTAATATCTGGGAAATCTTTTGTTCCAGGCTATCTCTGTGGCTTCCATGAGTGCCTCAGCTGATGGGCATTCCCTTTCCACTTCACTGGGCTTCCAGGCCCTCCCCTCCCTGTCCTTCTGTCCCCCGAGGCTGGCACAGCAGCACAACCCTTGCAGTTCAGTGCTGCCTGCCACATCAGTCCCTTCAGATTTACCATGTGCTGGGCTGCCCCTTAACAGGAGATCTTTTTGAGTATTTTATGCTTGAAGGGAGAGGAATGGAAGCTTGGGGCTGAGCTGGAGATCTCTGATGTAACATGAGCTATTGTGGCACCCCTTGGGACAGAGTGCTCCTGGCTTCTGCTTCCCTTTCTGCCATCAGGACTGATTGCAGTGAAAAGTGACCACCAGGAAAGTACCAAAACTCCTGAGCCAGAGTCCTTTTGCTGATTAGAAACCGGGAGAACTTCAGCTTCCCATAGCTGTGGGGGGACAGCAACACCCTCACTGCAGCCCTCACAGGGCTGTCAGGCCTGCCCTGGGCTGGCCCTGCAGGAAGATGTGTGCCCTCGCAGGGCTGTCCCTGGAGCCAGGTGTGTGTCCTGGAGCAAGGTGTGTGCCCTGGAGGCTGTCCCTGGAGCCAGGTGTGTGTCCTGGAGCAAGGTGTGTGCCCTGGAGGCTGTCCCTGGAGCCAGGTGTGTGTCCTGGGGCAAGGTGTGTGCCCTGGAGGCTGTCCCTGGAGCCAGGTGTGTCCCTGCAGGCAGGTGTGTGCCCTGGAGGCTGTCCCTGGAGCCAGGTGTGTGTCCTGGAGCAAGGTGTGTGCCCTGGAGGCTGTCCCTGGAGCCAGGTGTGTGTCCTGGGGCAAGGTGTGTGCCCTGGGGGCTGTCCCTGGAGCCAGGTGTGTCCCTGCAGGCAGGTGTGTGCCCTGGAGGCTGTCCCTGGAGCCAGGTGTGTCCCTGCAGGCAGGTGTGTGCCAGGGCTGGCCCTCAGCAAGGTGCGCCACTGTCCCTGCTCCCTGTGCCACACGCGGGGCTCTGCTGCCACCCAACGGGGACAGGAGCAGTCCTGGCCCTGCTCTCAGCTCCGTGCAAGCTCTCAGTCTTGCTGAAGCAAAACCAGACACACTGGTTGCTGTGGAAGACAGGAACAGCGAAGACTTTTTGGTAGCTTGTTCCTGACAGAATCTGGAGTTTGTACAGAGCTTTCCAGGTGGTCTTTGAGTCATAAACAGCATGAAAAACAGAATTACTTTCCCTCTTCTACTGAGAATGTCTGTAAGGAGAAAGATTGAGTCTTTGTGCAGGACCTGGGGAGGGTTTAAGGAAAGGAAGATGGGAAGGGTTTAAGGAAAGAAAGATGTGCCTTTGCACTCTGTGCAGTTCATCCCTTTGGCTGCCAAATGCTGTGACAGACAGGCAGTTAATTAAGGTTAATGAACCAAGCAGCTGACAGCAAATGCATCTGTTTGCTTGTTTGCAGATTGTGCTGGCTGTGGAAGAGACATCAAAAATGGACAAGCACTGCTAGCCCTGGACAAGCAGTGGCACCTGGGCTGCTTTAAGTGCAAGGCCTGTGGGAAGGTCCTGACTGGGGAATACATCAGCAAGTGAGTAACCTCTGTCTGCTGCTCTGCTGAACTCCTGGCACAGTTCTGACTGCTGGCAGAGAAGGGCTTGCAGCAAAATTCACATCTGGAAGTCCTGCTTTGACCACCTTTTTGTACACACCAAAGTCTTTGTTCCCAGTGAGAGCTGAGCTGGGAAAGTGAATTGCAAAGTGCAACTGAAAGCTCATGTTTAATAATGCCAGTTTACATTTAATACCTTAAAGTCTTAAAGAGGTATCATTCCACATTCCCATAGAGAATTAGGTGGATTGTTGCATGTGTTTTCTGTAGTAGCCAGATAAAGCATTGTGTCATTTTGCTTTCTAACATGTGATTTTTGAGGAAAAAAAAATGCTAATTTTCTATTTGTTACCTTTGCTAGATAATAGAGTAAATGTGATGGTGTGATTGACCTGACATTGTATTTCTCATCAACATATAAAAAACTAATGAAGAGGGTTTTGTGTGGAAGGTGTAGAGGAAGAGAATAGGGAAATTATAAAAGAGCAGAAATGAAGATACAGTTTCTTTTTCTCCCTTCAGGCATATAGCACAGAGAAAAAATAATGAAACATGTACATTTCACAAACCTGTCATTTGTGTGTGTGTAATATTTATAAGAAGTAGCATCTGCAATTTCTCAAAAACAATCTGGTGCCTAAGAAATGCTCCTAGACTGACTAGTGTTTCCACTTTTACTGTATGTTCCTTGTTCACACAAAATACTACATTGCCTTACACTGAAAAGTCACTGCTTATAGCCTTGCAGCCTACCAAAGGCTTTTTCTTTTTTCTGAAGTGAACAAAAACTGTCTGCTTGTGCTAGACTGTGATTTCCTCTCCACCCCAGAGACAGCTACACTGATTCCTTGGAGCTGCACCACCTGTAGGTGTGGAGAGTCTGCTCTAAAGAAGGAGGATTGCTTCAGTAGTTTGTCCTGCATGCCTTCTCTGGATGGAAATTTAAGGAACAATTCTAAGAGGCATTAGTGAGAATGTTATTTTTGTTTCTTGTACTACAAAGTGTTTGCCTTGAACTCTCCCCATTTCCCTGGGTCTGTGTGTAGGAGTACAAAGCTGAAGACAAATGAAGATAGAAAGTCATGCTGTAACCTGTTTAATAAGAAGTGGTTTGTAATTTGTGAATTTTCTTTTTCAGAGATGGTGCTCCTTACTGTGAAAAGGACTACCAAGTTCTTTTTGGAGTCAAGTGTGAAGCATGTCACCAGTTCATTACTGGGAAAGTCCTAGAGGTAGGTGTTTTGTGAGCTAGAGTTTATGAAGAATTGAGCCACCCATTATGTCCTCACCTAACTGCAGAGAATACAGAAATTCTCATAGAAAGGCTTCCTACTGATTCTTGAACAAAGTTGCTGATTTTCAGAATTATTTTCAGTGTTTTAGTTTTGCGGTCATCAGGAAAAGTGTGTGATACAGAATTAATTGCACTAGTTTCTATGGGTATGTGGTTTCTGTTTTTCTCTCTTCATGGTGATCTGCTAAGCACATTGCACTGCTTATTCTGTCAGATTTAATATATTTACAGAAGTAATTTAATTACTGGAATCACTTTTAGCAACCATAAGTTTGTCAGAACTTACCACATGAGATTTACACATGATTTGAATGATGCTGAGAAGGTGAGAGGGAGAAATGTGCTGGAGAGGTAAAATATGTGTTCAGAAATGAGAAGGCAGAAACCATCTGAGTAATCTCCTTTGCTGACTCTTATTTGGAGTCCTCAATGCTGACTCTTATTTGGAGTCCTCAGTGTTCTCATTGAGACCAGTCAAATCTTTTTAGAGATGTCAGCACCAACCTCCATCTCTCATGGCTCTGGTGAGCTGGAATCCTTGAACTATGCTTGGATTCCTCTGTGCCATGACTGAATTGTTTAAGGGCCAAAACACAGAGGACCTTCCTTGTCATTGAGATATGAGAAGCAAAACTTAACTCTTGTCCCCGTAGGAAACTCTGCTCAGTGGAAAGAACCTAAGCCCTGATCTCAGGTCAGGAGCTGGAGTAAATGTTTTTGAGCAAATAACTGAGAATAAACCTGAAAGTGTCACAAAAAATAAAAGCAGCTGGAAGTTGCAAGTGAGAATGTGTTACAGGTTCCCTTCTTTGTGTCCCATCTATTACACATGCAGGACTGTGTCAGCCCTATTGTACAAAGTTTCAGGTTTGACACAAGATGGTATTGTGGTTTAATTGTGGAGGTTTCTCTGCCTCAGCATCCAGAATATGAACCAGTCACCGTGAGGGACTCAGAGCTCCTGTGGACACCCTGAGCATTTGGAAGGATGCACAGTTCTTTCATCAGCCACACTCTGAGCCTGCCTCCTTTGAAATGTGTGTCTGATTCCTTTGGAGACCTGCTCAGATAATTGCTGAGAGCAGCCTGGGTTTTCCCCTGAGTAGGAAGGCTGTGTCTCTGGCTTTCTTCTTCTGCCCTGCCACCATCTGCTTATCTATTCCTAAGTACTGATGAGTTTTTACAATTTAGCATTGTGTATTGGAGATACTGCAGTTCCAATGCTGTGCAGGAGAGAAGTAATTGAATTTGTGAGATTGGGAAACATAAAATAAGTCTAAAATTGTTTTAGCTGTACATGACAGTTGCACTCACCAATAAGCAATGCAGCCTGTTCAGATGAACATGACAAAAGAGAGGGTTATTGGAGTCTGTGGAGGACTGGGAAGAAAGAAATATTTCTGTCTGGAACATTTTGTGAAGTAGCTGTGAATATAGCAAGGTTGCACTCATGTTACTCTTCCTAGCATCAGTGAGGAAGAAACCTAACTGTTTGAGGGGTCATGAGTTGTATCCCATCAGAACTGGATAAACTGAGACTAAGGAAAGATTAGTTCAATTGACCTGGAACTTGGCTGTCCATCATAACTTAAGCTAACATTCATTCATAATTTAAGCTAATCTGACTTTCATAGCATTCATAATTTAATATAACATTCTGTATCCCAGAACCGTGGTGTTTATTTTGGCCCCAAGGTGAGTTTCTCACTTCATAGTTCTTATTCTCCTATGGCTATTTATTATGAGAAGACAAGACAGCATCTGCTGCAGAAAGGAAGCATGTCCAAACTCTTATAAGGGTGTCCCTCTTCTGAGAGTCAAAATCAGATAAAAAAGGTAAAGTTATTTCTATTTAACCTGGTCCCTGCAGCATCAGACTTTTCTCACGAATTAGAAACAGAGCTTTTGAATGATATTGCCAGTAATGGAAGCATTAAGCATGCTAAGTTCTGGTTCAGTCTAGAAATTGTACTTGAATATTTGTGGTCTCACTGTTTATCAGAGACACAACCCAAAACACTGCAGCAGAGGGCAGCAGTGGTTCTTAGCACATAACTGAGACCAAACTCCTCGATGGCCTGTAGAAGTTGTGTTGTTCTGACTGCTGTCTGTAAGGTATAGGCTGGCCAAATCATAAAAAATTTTCACCAAAAAAATTGTGTAGGCAGGGAGGCTGTTCAGATACCGGCCCTACTGAATTGCAGTGTGTATTAGCAGCTTGGATAATCTATGATTAAAGTTCTCCAAGTATCATCTGGGAATGCAGCTGCAGGACAGATATTCAGACATTCTGTGTCTTTTAAGTGCTGCTGGAAAAGTTTGGCAGATAGAGGTGAGCAGCTGCTGTTCAACAATCAGAGCAGTTAATCACAACTGTGGGCTTGTTTGGTGGCTCCTCCCTGTCAGACATGCACAGTCCCAAAGAGGCAGCACTAAATGCTGCCTCGAAATATGACTCAGGGAACTAATAAGTCAAAAGCTAGCATGGGAAAACCATGTGTCAGCACGTGTGTGTGTCCCCTTGGGCAGCAGAGGTCGTGTAAAGGATGGGGTCAGGGCATGACACAAATCCTCTGCTAATGAGGGAGATGAGATCGGAAGCAGCCACAGGAGATAATTCACAGCACAGGAAGGCACAGCTCACAGAGGGCTGCAGAGCTGTTTGAGGCAGGACAATTAACAATCTCCTTATCCTCTGCTGGAAATCACCCACAACCTTTCAGTTCACCTGAAGTTTTAATTTAGATGAAGCTTGAGATCCTCACAGGAGGATTACTGTCTTCCCTCTTTGTTTTCTTTGGCAATGTTTCTTTGGGAAATGTGGGTATTTTTGATGATTTATATCATGTGGGTTGTCTCTTATTCTGCTGTTTTCCCCTTGAGAAGGAAACCATAATTTTGGTGTGAAGTAGCACCCTTACAGGAATTCTCTAGGTAGAGCTTGTCTCCCAGACCAAATTATGCTTACTAACATGCAGTCAGGAAAAAACCCAAAACACTTTGTATTTTGCCTTTATTAATAAAAATGATCCTATAGTAAACATAGTGATCAGTACATTTCATTTTATTTGTCAATAAAATAACTCATTATGTGAGAAGCAGAGTCTGCTCTCTCATCATCTTCATCCAAAGAAATTACTAGAAGTGGTTGAAGGGAATTATATGTACATTGTGTACAAACACTTCCCTCTAATGGATCAGAAGTGATTAGCAGCAAGCCCTTTTGGTGCTGCTTTATTTCCACTTATTCTTATTACATCCAGGGCAGTCTGTAGAAATACTGAAGGGAGAGGAAAGCATGAAAGTTAGCTTTGGGTTCACAGAGGCTGGTGCTGTCTATTTTACCTGTAAAAACCTATTTCACTTATTTATTTATTTTTATTTGAAGAGAAATGGAGGTTCTTTGCAACATTTCAGACTTGCAACTTCTGCTTGTGTTGTCCCTCAGTATGGCTTTAGCACCTCTGAGAAAGTCAGATTTTTCAGTCCCCTAAAATGAACACCCAGCAAGAGAGAATCCATTCCTCATGAGCACCTAAGAGTCTTCATCTCAGCAGCAGCTCTGCTGTGCCCTGGAGCACCCTCAACAAAACCCGTCAAAAAAGCCAAAGTTTGGGTTCAGACTGAGATTCAAGGCCAAACTCCCTCCAGCCACTCTGTAGAGGTGATCCCTTTGCTCAGTTAGGAAATGCATTAGGAGAAAGACAGAATTTATTTTGCTAATATCCACAAATCATGGAAGAATGCTCTTTTTTTCTAGATCATAGGTGTAACTACTTTCAGTAGCCATGGAAATATGCAGGAAAAATACCATGTGCATTTAAGCCAGCTCAGATATTTGTGATGTATTATTTGGCACATTGCTTTCTGTGACAAATACTCACAGATGATAGAGGAGAGCATGCCAACACAAAAAATGTGGTAAATGTCCAATATGAAATAGATATTGCAACTTTCTTGAGCATGAATACTTTAATGCCTGAGTGTTTGAGGAAATGTTGTCAAGGCAATAGAGATCAGTGCTCTTCCTTGGATTTCTCTAGCAGAAAGGAACCTTTAGTTATAAAAAATTACTCTTTTCCCATTAACTCTGGTAAAAAACGTTTTTAGCAGGCAGTAACAGTATAGTGAGAGTGAGGAGCTCTACACAGACTTCCCACTGAGCAATGGTTTTCAGAGCTTCAGGGCTTGCCTCTTGAAAGATGCCTGTCTAATCCTAAACCTGAAAATTTCTGTGCAACTCCACAAATCTCAGTAAACTTTACCACTTGAAAGATGTCGACCTAAATGATTTTTGGCTAATGTGTTTTTCATACACAGTATAACTGCTACTCCAGGGCTTAATTCAAAATATGGGAAATCATTGAGAAGCTTCCAGCTGACTTCAGAGAATGATGGATCATCCATATACTCCATCTTTGCTTGTCTAAAACGTCTTACAACACTTCTAAGCCATATTCTCTTAGCTCTGCAAAAGAGGACATGAGGGCAGAAAAAGCTGCATATTTTGCATGAAATTGTATGAAAAGACTGAGAATAAGATCAAGATTTTTAAAATTTTCACCTTTTCCAGCTGTAGCTGATATGACCAGGATTTGATCTCATGATCTAGAGATGCATATATCTGCTGTCAAGTGCTTTAATCATCTTGCTCCTCCACACATTTATTTTTATAATGCTTTTTGCTTAATATTAATTGGCAAAAAAAAAAAAAAGGAAAAGAAAAAGAGGCTCTGGTGTGATTTCTCCTGGCTGTGCATAGCTCTAGTTCCTGCTCCAGGGGCTGCTGCCTGCCCTGGGTTTGCTTCCTGTGCACTGTTGAATCTTGCACCCCACCTTGTAAGCAGTGGCACAGTGCCATTTTCACAGATGGACCTGAAAAGAGTCCAGGCCACCAGAAGGTTCCCTTGATTTCAGACTGCAAGGTCAGGTCAAGTT